TCCTCCTCCTCCTCCCAAAAGCTGGTCAGGCAGAGCCGAGAGGTCAGTAGTATTCCTTTTGCCAGACTGCAAAAATGAGATGCACTTAATTTTGGAAGGCCCCTTTTCAAGGCGTGTGTTCGCTGCTGATTATTGGGGTGGGGTGGGGAGTATAAAATATCTGCTTCCTGTTTTAACCTTCTCCCCCCACCCCTTTATCTCACGAGGAGCATCGTTTTTGGAAACTCTTGAACCACGTGGCTATTCTGTCTTCTTTAGCTCCTTCAGAGACGGATGCCAAACGCTTTGGTTTAGAGTAGGAGGGTTGGGGTTACAGCCTTTCTAATTTTTGTTGTTGTTGTTGTAACAAGTAGCTTTTTGCAAAAAAAAAAAAAAAAGGGTCAGCCTGATAATGGAAAAACAAGTTGTCTTCATGGGGAATTGGAAAAGGTTGAGCTACCTTGTTTTAATCCCCCTTTTCCTGCAAGGTTCTTATCCCAAGAAAAAAAAGGGGGTGGGCGGAATTGTAGCCGCCGTATTTATGACTTTCCCAAGGGGGCTGCTCAGCCCTCCTGGGGAAGCCGGGGGCAGAAAAAAAATATTTCTCTGATTTTTTTCGGAGGCCAGCCTCTCTCATTTCATTTCTTGTTTTTAACTGCTTAGAAACGTATTTATTTTGTATTTATTTGGAAGGTGGGTCGCGCCTGCCCAACTATTTTTATAGATTCGTCGCCACAGAGTTGGTTTGTTCGTGTCCTTCGTCTCCTGTTATTTTTGTAGAGGTTCTCTGTATTTATGTTCTGGATTAAAAACAAACAATGTTTATTTTGCACGTTGAAACTTGGAATCCCCCTCCCCCCCCCAAGGAAGAAGAGGAGGCAGCAGCTTCACCGAAGGTGGCCGACAAAGCTCCCCCTTTCGGTAAGCCAGCGCTGCCCCGTTTTACATTTGAACCACTGAGTCAGGAGGGAAGAAGTTGAGCAAATGAGGAGAAAAAGGGATGGTGACGGTGGAGAGAATCCTGTTTTCACTTGCACAAGAGTTTCGGATTGGCCTCCTTCTTAACCTTCCTCGGGGATCGGTGCTGGTGGATGACCTACCCGCGCGCATTTGGGTTGTGTTGACGTTTTCTTCTTCGATAATGCAAAGGGCTGGTTGGACTCCAGAGGGAAATCTCAGGGACCACCCAAAAACAAGCAAACACATCACCACGAGGTGCCAGTTTCGTTAACGCACTGAAGAAGGTGGGAAGCTGCGGCTAGGAAGGCCGTTTGGGTGCCCCAACCGAAGGCGCCTCTTCCCAAATTCACCAAACTTTCACGAGGAGAAGCTACAGATCTCCCGAAGAAACAGTGCCCCCAGTTGTCATCCACCCATCGGCTCTCAGCTGCTCTGTGTTTCGAAAGACTGATCGGATGAGTGGTTGTGATGTTGTCGAGTATCTCTCTGTTCTTTGTTGGGACCATCCTGCACGCTCGTCTCGCATTTGTCTCCGGATCGGTGATAACGACGGCGTTTTCCCCCCCTTGTTCTTCAGATGATTTGTCGTGTTTGTCTAGGCAGCCCTTTCTTTCCTTACCATTGGTGGCCTGGAGATAGTATTCAGAACATGTAAATCAATGCAAAATTTAACTGCCTCGGGAGCTGTAACCCTTCGGGGAAGACCAGATGTTGAGAAAAAAAATCCAGAAGTCTGATGGTAGGGAACAGTTTGCTAATAAAGGTTTATCATGCTAATATTTCCCCGGTTTCTGTTTGGTTTTTTTCCTTTTTCTTCTTCTGGTGGTTGAGTCCAACACCTACGCTGATTATCCAAGTATGGAAGCCACAGGTTTATTTTTAAATCTTTGGGGTGATGCAAATTCAGACCTCATCCTGTTTCCGTTTTAATCCTGGGTGAGTTCCTAGAACAGGTGTTAAATTGGCCTATAGGACCACGCAACGATTCCCACTCTGCACCCTCTCGGATTTTCTTAACTCACTTGAGATGATTCCCCTAACGGGATCCAGGACACACATTCTTCTTGAAGACCTCCTGCCTTGGATGGTGGAAGTCCAGAGAGGTCGTAAATTGCGAGGCAGGCAGTTTTAAGCCTGACACAAGGCAGAGATTACATGCATGGCATAGAGTTATATAAATTGGGCTGGAGGTAGAGATCCCACCTTTGATCTTTCCCCTTTTCTTTCATTTATGGGGAAGCATTTGAAGATAGCAGTAGTGCATTCCGTCCAACTGTCTCCTGCTGACTTGGATCAACTCCGTTTTGCTCCACCACTATTCCATTGCCTGCTTAGCTTCCCTAAACCTTCTGGTTCTTCATTTAATTCCAACCTTGCATTATATTTGCTTTCCAAACCATTGGAGAATTGTTCAACCCGTCCTAGCAGTCGACTCAACCCAACTTGCTCCTGCTTCTGACTTCTCCGCGGCTATTTCTAAGCTCAAGCACCATTAGGCCAATTTGTCCATTGGGGATTAAATATTTGTGGAGGGAAGCATGTTCAAAATGCATGGAACTGCACTGCTGATCTTATATATGTGAGATCTCTTCTAAGACCTTAGGAGAAACTTCTAAGAGATCTCAAAGGCAAACACTAACTCATCACCTAGAGGATCACAGATCATTTCCCATAAAACATGCACATGTCAAAGCAAATTTATTCGAACTAGAAATGATGCAGGCCAGCAATTAAGCCAAAAACCTTCCCTTCAAGTCTTGTTTGGAGCACCTGCTGCTTGGACTTGGGTGTCCTCTTTCTGGAAGAGATGCTTACATCTAACCTTCATTAGTTGCATGGACAGCTGCTAGCACAGGTTTGATCAACACGGGACGTGCAAACAAGAAGCATTGGTTCAGAAAATGGAATTTGGGGTGGTAGCATCTAGACCTCTTTGACCGTGGAAACTTAAGCAGAGCCAACCTTAGTTAGGACTTGTTTGGGTGACACCAAGAGTTCCAAGACTAGACTGGAAAACCAAACAAAAAACCAGCCCCTCTCTTAAGAAAAGGGCAAATATTTTCTGGAAAATCAGAATATGGTTTGGCGGATGGACGGTCTCCAAGAGTTCATCCCTGCTCAACATACTTTAGAAGAAACGATCATTTTAGCAATCGATTTGCAAGGCTGGCTCTCCATGGTGGGTGACGGTTCTAGTCTGCTGCTTTCCACCTAATCACTTTCTAAAAGCAGGAAGGACCTCAAAAAGGACCTCCTCCTTTGGCATGGACAACGCTGGAGCAGCTGTTGGTGCCCAATGCCAAGAGTGCAAGTCAAGTTCATTGTTGCAGTCTCAGGAATGAAGGATAATAACGATAGCACAAGCCGGCTCAAAAGGCATCTACGTAGCTTCTCCAGAAGAGGGAGACCTTTGCAAATAGTTTGGCACGTTGTGTGCCGATCTTTCCAGGGTTGGTGAAGTCCCTCTTGGCTCAAAACACCGGTAGTAGCGGAGTTTGCATGATGAGTTCAGACATTCAAAGCAAAGGTAGACCTTTCTCAAGAAGCATAACTCAAAAAGTTGTAGACTGAAATCTTTCCAAGCTTACAGATGATTCAGGTCATCCGTTTTAGGCCTTGGGAATGATTTGAGAGAACCCACCACACACACTTGTCCCCAGTTTTGCTAGTCCCAGAGTTCCTGACAAAATGAAAAGCAACGTATGACTACCTACAAAACCATCCCTTATCCCCAAAAAAGAAAGCAAGACCTATAAACTCCCAATGAATATGAGCCAACTTTTCTTGTTTGGTGTTGCTGTGGTTCTTCTCACACATCCATGAAGAGTCGTCCGCCCAAATGTTTGCCACCCATGTTTTGAAGAGTAGCGCATAGTTTTGGTTAGGTTCAAGATTTATTTATTTTGTCAAGCACGTGTTAGATAACAGATATAAGTATAAACATGATTATGAAGACATGAAATGGATATGAATAAAAGGGAGCATTAGGACAGGGAAGGTTGGCACGCTGGTGTGCTTATGCACGTCCCTTTACAGACCTCTTAGGAATGGGGTGAGGTCAGCAAATTTTGGGGGTTTGGGGAAGAAACCACAGAATCAGGTAGTGCATTCCAGGCATTGACCACTCTATTGCTGAAGTCGTATTTCCTGCAATCGGCTTGCCTTAAGTTTGTATCTATTGTGTGCTCATGTATTGCTGCGGTTGAAGCTGAAGTAGTCATTGACAGATAGGGCATCATAACAGATAATTTTATATACTATGCTTAGGTCAGCCCAAAGGTGGCATAGTTCTAAGTTGTCTAAGCCTAAAATTTCAAGTCTGGTGGCATAAAATTTTAGGCTTAGAAACTTAGAACTACTGCTATAAGATTTAGCAAAGTAGACTTCCCCAACTCTTTAGTGGGGTCTTCCAAGTTTTCAT